TCCCTAATTCCTAATTGCTAGAGCTGACTTGGCTATGGAAAAGCAGTGCATTATAGCTGGTGAATTGGATAAAACTCTGCAGACTCAACATATGAAATCAGACAAATGGAATAGTTGCTCAGCCCCTGTGGAGCTTACAATGTGGAGAAGGAATGTGATCCACGTGCACAATAGAGGTGTGGGAAAGGCTCATGGGCTGCTACCCGATTCTCTTCTGATCTCCCCTTTAGGGAAGAAGAGGATGGCCAGTGGAAGGAGGAACAGAAGCTAGAGGCACACAGTGACTGGGTTCGAGATGTGGCCTGGGCCCCTTCCATTGGTCTACCCACCAGCACCATCGCCAGTTGTTCCCAGGTCAGTCAGACCCCCGAGGGCATCCTGTATTATTTAATCTCTGAGTGAGTCCCATCAGCCCTTACAGTCCCCTTCGGGGAGAGTCCTTGAAAGGTAAGAGCAGGGCAACAAGTACCTTTGGGCCTGTGTAGATAGCAGAGTGGTGGAGCCGGTCATCACGCAGTGAACTCTTGATATGAAGCCACAGTGGCTTGCCTCCACTGAGCCAAGAGTAGGACCAGCTTCCCCTGCTGAAGCTTGTGTGAGTAGAGAATGGAAGTGCTCAGGTACAGTTCTGAGAGATTGTTCCCAAACAAGGACCAGGGCAATGGGAAAGTCTTAAGACCTGGGCTCATCTACTACCCACTCTTCCCGGGCAGATCACAAAAGTAAGACCAAGGACAAGCCTTTAATTATAGGCTACCCAACACCCCAGGCCAGAATTAAGCGAGGCCTTTTATATATATCATTTGTGCCTGTTTTGTTTGGTCCTATTTTTGAGAGGTTTTGTGTGTTTTTTTTCTCCCTTCTCATTCTCTGAACTTGGTTTTTAGGCAGCCAGACTAACTCAGTTGAGAAAGTATAGACAGAGCAGAGGGAACTGAAACAAGAAAGTGACTTTGAAGACATGAAAACTGCCCCCATCTCCTGACTCTCCTGTCTTCCCAGGATGGCCGTGTGTTCATTTGGACCTGTGACGATGCCTCAAGCAATACGTGGTCTCCCAAACTACTGCACAAGTTCAATGATGTTGTGTGGCACGTGAGTTGGTCCATCACAGCCAACATTCTGGCCGTCTCCGGTGGAGATAATAAGGTACACAGCATTTCTATGACCTGGGGGAGCAGTTAATGAAGCCTGCATTTTGAGCATGTGTCCTAATTATATCCTTAAATCTTACTGCCCTTTAAGTTTATATAAGGATGTTAACTTCTGCATATTTTATTACTGTTTGAGTTAATTCCAATTTTCTTGAAATTTAAAGATATGTCTAGCCCACTGGTGTGGCTCAGTGGTTAAGCATTGACTTATGAACCAGGAGGTCACGGTTCGATTGCCAGTCAGGGCACATGCCCAGTTTGTGGGCTCAATTCCCAGTGTGGGGTGTGCAGGAGGCAGCCAATCAATGATTCTCTCTCATCATGAATTACCCCTTTGTCCAGCATATCTATGTCATTGTCATAGTGACTATTGCGATAGCACAGTGCTTATGTTCAGGTAACCCTTTTTGTACTTAATGGCCCCAAAGGGGAAGAGTGTAGTACAGTAAGATAACTTTGAAAAAGAGACCATATTACATAACTTTTATTATAGTATATTGTTTACAATTGTTCTATTTTATTATTGTTACTCTCTCTTACTGTGCCTTGTTTATAAATTAAACTTTGTCGTAGGTATAATGTATAGGGTTCAGTACTACTAGCCACATTTCAGGCATCTAATAGAGGAGTCATGGAACATATTCCTTATGGATGAGGGGCTATTATATTGGTGGTGGGTTTTTTTTTTTGTGGGGGGGGTGGTTCATTAGGTCTCATAATTCCTGTAGGCTTTCTATACTCTTCTTCATTCTTTTGTTCTTCTAACTGGATACTTTCAAATGTCCTATCTTCCAGATCATAATTCTTTCTTGTACACTGTTGAGGCTGCTTTGGAATTCTTAAGTTTAGTTTCTGAATTTTTAAGTTCTAGGATTTGAGTTTTTATTTTTTGATGGTTTCTATTGCTTTGCCAAAGTTCGTGTTATTCATGCATTGTTCTAACTAATCTCATTTATCTTTGTAGTTCACTAAACTTCAAAAGGATTACTCTGAATTCTTTATCTGATAGTTCATAGATCTCCATTTCTTTAGTGTCAGGTACTAGAGCTTGATTAGTTTCCTTTGGTTGTGTCATATTTACCTGGTTTTTCATGATCCTTGGTACCTGCACACTGGAGTGTGGTCTCCTCTTCCAGGCTTTACAGGTTCAGTTTGGTTTTCTGGACATGTCTGTTAGTAATATCTTTGGACAGATGAGATCCTAATAGCAAAGATAGACCCTTTGCTATTAGGATATATCTTTGGGTGAGGCAGCTGTTTGAACGCTGAGGTAGGGGGTGCGGGGGGTGCTATTGCTGGCTTGGTTTCCTGCCCAACTGAGTCTATAGAATGAACTTCATGGTTACCTGGTCAAACTTACTGCATGGTCAGGACTGAGTATTCTACTCAGCAGTAGGTGGGGCTGTGAATTAGCTTCCCTGCTTTGGTGGGACAGCACCCAGAGCTCATTTGGGGACCACAATCAGGCAAGAGTGCACTGAATATCGTGGTCAGGTGAGGTCACTTGTTTTGCTCTGGAGACAGGAACAGCCATAGTCTGTGCTTTCTGTTCCAGTGCCCCTAGAAGCAGGGATGTTTGATGGGATACACCGCTTCGCATGTGCTC